GTCTCTGTGTTTAGTTTATTAGAATGACAGTATTATGTTTTGAAGTCTCTATGTTTAGTTTATTAGATGACAGTATTATGTTTTGAAGTCTCTATGTTTAGTTTATTAGATGACAGTATTATGTTTTGAAGTCTGTGTTTAGTTTATTAGATGACAGTATTATGTTTTGAAGTCTCTGTGTTTAGTTTATTAGATGACAGTATTATGTTTTGAAGTCTCTGTGTGTTTAGTTTATTAGATGACAGTATTATGTTTTGAAGTCTCTGTGTGTGTTTAGTTTATTAGATGACAGTATTATGTTTTGAAGTCTCTGTGTGTTTAGTTTATTAGATGACAGTATTATGTTTTGAAGTCTCTGTGTTAGTTTATTAGATGACAGTATTATGTTTTGAAGTCTCTGTGTTTAGTTTATTAGATGACAGTATTATGTTTTGAAGTCTCTGTGTGTTTAGTTTATTAGATGACAGTATTATGTTTTGAAGTCTCTGTGTTTAGTTTATTAGATGACAGTATTATGTTTTGAAGTCTCTGTGTTTAGTTTATTAGATGACAGTATTATGTTTTGAAGTCTCTGTGTGTTTAGTTTATTAGATGACAGTATTATGTTTTGAAGTCTCTGTGTTTAGTTTATTAGATGACAGTATTATGTTTTGAAGTCTCTATGTTTAGTTTATTAGATGACAGTATTATGTTTTGAAGTCTCTATGTTTAGTTTATTAGATGACAGTATTATGTTTTGAAGTCTCTGTGTTTAGTTTATTAGATGACAGTATTATGTTTTGAAGTCTCTATGTTTAGTTTATTAGATGACAGTATTATGTTTTGAAGTCTCTATGTTTAGTTTATTAGATGACAGTATTATGTTTTGAAGTCTCTGTGTTTAGTTTATTAGATGACAGTATTATGTTTTGAAGTCTGTGTGTGTTTAGTTTATTAGATGACAGTATTATGTTTTGAAGTCTCTGTGTGTGTTTAGTTTATTAGATGACAGTATTATGTTTTGAAGTCTCTGTGTGTGTTTAGTTTATTAGATGACAGTATTATGTTTTGAAGTCTCTATGTTTAGTTTATTAGATGACAGTATTATGTTTTGAAGTCTCTATGTTTAGTTTATTAGATGACAGTATTATGTTTTGAAGTCTCTGTGTTTAGTTTATTAGATGACAGTATTATGTTTTGAAGTCTCTGTGTTTAGTTTATTAGATGACAGTATTATGTTTTGAAGTCTCTGTGTTTAGTTTATTAGATGACAGTATTATGTTTTGAAGTCTCTGTGTGTTTAGTTTATTAGATGACAGTATTATGTTTTGAAGTCTCTGTGTGTTTAGTTTATTAGATGACAGTATTATGTTTTGAAGTCTCTGTGTGTTTAGTTTATTAGATGACAGTATTATGTTTTGAAGTCTCTGTGTGTTTAGTTTATTAGATGACAGTATTATGTTTTGAAGTCTCTGTGTTTAGTTTATTAGATGACAGTATTATGTTTTGAAGTCTGTGTGTTTAGTTTATTAGATGACAGTATTATGTTTTGAAGTCTCTGTGTTTAGTTTATTAGATGACAGTATTATGTTTTGAAGTCTCTGTGTATTCTCTTCTCAGGACGTTGTAGTCTTTAGCTGTGAGCTTTGTTCAGGTTAAGTTTTGTTTCTGTCCTTTTTATTTATAAGTTGTGTTCAGTTGCTGCTGCTGTAAACGCCCAATTTCCTGATATGAGTCTTTCACAATAAAAGCACTTCAACTACAGATAGGCTGGGGACTTTTATTTTGAGGAACTTGTTGGAAATAGAATGTGTTTATCATCTCAAACTTTGAGATTGATTACGGTACCTGAGGACCCACTCGGTCTGCCTGGGCAGCCCCGTGTACGGGCTGATGTCCCTCAGCTCTCTCCTCCATTTGTTCACTTCCTGCCCTGCGATGGTCCTGAAGTACATCCTCTTCCAGTGCCCTGCCGAACGATGTCCCACCTCCACCGTGTCAACCGCAGCATCATCAGCCGCCTTCGGCTTCCATGTTTGACTCCCAAACTCCGACATGTAGATCTTATGCCACACAACGCTGCGAAGAAGGACGACATGTTTAAAGAGCAGCACTTCCTGTTACGATCTGAAATCCACAATGTGCCAGCGTCTTTTTTCAATTGTTTTCAATGTGGAGAGAGCGTCATGCAAAGAGGCTGAAGGACTCTTATCAGGTCTGATTTAACTTTGACTTCATTGTTCACTCAGACTTACTCATCGTTGGCGAGCTGGTTGAAGAGTTTGCTGACGTAGCTGACGCAAAACAGCGAGGAGGCGTCCAGGTAGGACAGGACCTTTATCAGGATCTCAGACGGCAGCCTGGAGACGGAGAAACAAGTCGTTCGGACGTCAAGTTTGGAGGCTAATGCTCAAAACTGTGTGACATTGGATTTCATTATTTCTTCAGTAATTAATGAACTCCGGTTTAGAGCAGTCACCGTGAGGAATTTCCTCCTAAGTCGTGATATCAGGAATAATAAATAAATCATAAAATCAAGTTTAAAGTTGAAAAATAGTTCAAAAGAGTTTTTTTTAAAAAGAGTGGAAATATTTTTTAAAAAGTAGAAAGGTTAAAAATTAAGTTGAAATACAGTCTCATGAACTTTTCAGCTTTTTATTCACAAAACTGTATTAAAACAAAAAAAAAATCGTTTTTTATTTTTCATGTTTGACCATCATCGGCTTCCGTACTTTTAAAACATAAAAACGTAATAAAAAACAACTGTCCGACAGTCGCGTGAGCTAATGACGTTAGCATGCCAGCTGAGCTAATGACGTTAGCATGCTAGCAGAGCTAATGACGTTAACATGCTAGCCGAGCTAATGACGTTAGCATGCTAGCCGAGCTAATGACGTTAGCATGCTAGCTCACCTTTCTACAGTGTTTTCCTGGGATGGAGACGTACTCTTTTTTGGAATATTTTCTTGATCCTTTGTTTTCGGTTCTCGGCAGCTGGGATACAAAAGAATAAAGAAAACATTATTATTTAAGATGTTTTCAAACAGAAGACGTTTTCCCGACCTGTCACCTGCGGTCACTCCCGCTGACCGGTCCCCTCGGCGGCCACTTCCTCCGTCCTCTACCCGGACCCGGCCGTCCTCTACCCGGACCCGGCCGTCCTCTACCCGGACCCGGCTGTTGTCCACCTGAAACCTGTGGGGTTCGAGTCCTCTCCAAACCGTCTAATAAACTCCGGAAAAACTCCCCACGTCCGGCCGCCATGACGGTCTGTGAGAGACCGCTAGAGGTTCAGGTGTTACGCTTCATATCGCTACCTAAGAAGATGCGCCCCATAGCGGCTCTGCGCCTGCGCAGCACTATAGTGAGGTCGTTGCTTAACTAGACCGCTAGATGGCAGTCGATTTAACCTCTATATCTAAGAAGATAAAACCTTCAACTGTTTCTTCAAGAACAAAACAACAGAATCGATCCTGCTGATGTCACGAGTACTTGCAGTTTAATTTATTTTTGATGTATTTATTGATTTGCAGTTGTAAATAAGATCTCAATTTGATGACACAGCGTTTACAGTGCAGGACAATAACTCAAATAAACACCTGTGTTATTCTGCTGCATGAAGAAATAACATTTAAACAGAAGGTGTGGTTTAAGGTCCTGCAAGTTTGGTTTCCTCCTGGAGTACATGTGTGTGTTACATAATCCTGCTCGTCTGTAATTTAACTAAAAGCTGTGAAACCTGAGACCACACACACACACACACACACACACACACACACACACACACTCTGGTACAGATGCTCTCGGATGTAAACATGTTGTTGGTCTCTAAGCAGCCATGTAAACAGCTCCACAGTGTGTGAGATGTTCTCAGGTGGAGGAAGACGTTGGAGGAGGCAGAGATGAAGAGCGACACCTGGAGTGTCATCGTCTGTTTGCTGGGACTTTTTGGTCAGAGTCTTCCTCGGTGGTTTGATGTATTCTTGCAGAAGTGGTGAGTACCCGTGTTGGTTCGGCTGGCGAGGAGGTCATGTGGGGCACCGGTGGGCTGCCATGTTTTCCTGGTGTGTTCAATGTTTTATATGTGAGACAAAGAAGCTCTACTGAAGGTTTCCTCGCAGCCCGGGGAGAAGAAAGCATAAGTAGCTTCACCTTAAGTTAGTTAAGATATGTTTTTCTGTCTTTATAATTAAAGGTCCACTCAGTGAGCTGTGTAGAGAGTGAGATGATAAAGGTATCTTACTCTCTGATCATTAAGGAAACATGCTATGTTGAAGTGCTGGCTTCTCTGACAACAATGCAGCAGCCAGTATGTCCTCCTTCTAACTTTACATTCTGCTCCTGAATGCTCTGGATTTGTTTGGACCAGAGAAGGTAGGCGCTTTTAAGACCCCCCACACGGCCGTTTTGGACGCCCCTCGGTTTGTCAGATATGAGAGCAGTTATCAGGTCAACAGGTGTTGCAGCGATGGAAGCGGTCAAGAGAAGTGGTTCAGATAGAAGTGATTGTACCCGACCTAAAAAGCCTCTGCATGTTTCTAATAAGCTCCACGAGCAGAAACGTGCTCAAACTAGGATCAATATTGGAGATGCTTTTGAAAAATGGAGAGAGGTTAGAACACAGAAAGGTTTACAGACCCATGCAGAGCTGGATAAACACTGAAGCTTCAGAGTCCACCACATGGTGACCTGAGTGAACATCCACTCTAGAGAGGAGGGGGGGGGGGGGGACAGCTCTCTATGATGTTTAGAATTTAGACTGCAGTACACATTTTAAACACTAGGGGGCAGAGTTACATTATAAACACAGGGAATGATTTTAGATTCACCAGTTTAACTGTCAAATGTGTTTTCAGTTTTCTGCTGCCCCCAAGTGGCCGAGAAAGAAACTACTAACAACTTATTTATTTTATTCATGAGCACATTTGATCAGTTAGACTCATGTTTCTTAAAGTAGAAAATATGTTTGACATGCACTCAGATGCAATAAAAACATGTTTTGTATATTTAGAATATTATAGATATAGACTGCAAGGTAAAAAACAAAACAAATTAAAAAAGAGCAGCACAAGAAACAAACTGTAGAGGTCAGAATGAGACAAGGAAAAACAAATATAATCAATAAAAAAGTGTTTATTTAGAGTCTAATTCTAACAGGTTATATAACATACAAAGTGTAATAATGCTGTAATTATGTATGATTATAAATGATCGTAAATATATTAGAAATAAGAAAATATCTTTATTATACACTATAAATTAAGCATCAGAAATACAAGAATTATTTATAAAAACAACAAATATATTCATATCTAACCGGAAGTCACAACAAAGAGCTGATATTTAAAGTTATTCAAAATAAATATAATAAAATAATAAAACAAACAAAAAGGACATTTAGATGAAATAATAATACTGTAAGGTAATTAATAATACCATAACTATAATTTAATAATACAAAATAAACGTTTAATTGGAGAGAAACGTTGTTTTTAAATTAATAAAGAGGAAGAAGGAGGAGAAGAGAGGGGAGGAGAAGAGGGGGGAGGAGAAGAGAGAGGAGGAGAAGAGAGAGGAGGAGACGAGGGGGGAGGAGTAGCAAGGAGGAAGAGGAGGAGCCGCAGGCGGAGGAAGAGGAGGCGTCCCATCCGTCTGTGTCCAGAGGAGAGGAGCGGCCGCCATGTTAACCAAGAAGCCCGGAACCTCGGTCCTCCCGACGGGTGAGCACAGCCTCTGTAGCCGGCCGCAGGGTCGCCTGAGCCCGGCCAGTGTTGCGGGGACACACCGCCGATCCCCTGCTTCTGAAGAACTCCTTTAAATGCACCAAAGTGAAAATGTCAATGAGTGAGAGAGGCAGAAAAACAGAGAGGAAGGGCTGGGATAGAAGCTGCCCTTTCTTCTTCTGGTTTATTTAATTAAGCATAATCTTGTTGTTTTAAAGGGAGGAGATTTAGTGTTTAAATGTTCATATTGATAGAAAAGACAAAGAAAGAAAAGCAAAGTAAGACTCCAGACTGTCCCTGAGTGTCTGTCACGTTTATTTATAGCAGCAGGAGAAGCAGGAGGATTCCCGGTGTGTTTACTGCCTGTTTACTGTTTACTGCCTGTTTACTGTTTACTGCCTGTTTACTGTTTACTGCCTGTTCTCCTCTAAGCCGCTGAACAACACGGTGTCTTTAACGTGTGTCCGCTGATTCTCCGTGTTTTAACGTCTCTGTGTTACCGAGTGTTGCTCACCAACGAACCGGCTCTTTTAAACGGTTCTTTAACGCTCCGAACAAACCGTCATAACTTTGATGAACACTCGTGAATCATCTGCATATAACATCTACAGTCGGATAACTTCCAGGAGAAAATGGATCTGTCGATGTTAAAAAGGTTTAAGAGTCACAAAGAGGACACGAAAATAATGTACTAAATGTGAAAAGAATCGTTAACAGAAACTGAGCTCAAATAAGAAAGTTCATCCATTTTATTTTTATAATTATAACTAACTAATTATTCTTCGGAACTAAGGAAACATTTTGATAAAAAGAACCCAATGTGTTTTTAAAGCAAAGATAAAAACCTTTATTGATAAAGATCGTCTAAGCGGGTCAAGCTAGCCGTCTTACGTCGAGGTCAGAGTACTCGATCTTTTTGTTTGTTACGATGCTCACTGTCAGATCAGGTGACCACACTGTGGCACCCCAACAATCTGTAGACCAATGAGATAAGGTTAGGGGCGAGGCTAGACGACACCTTGATTGTAAACAACAACAAAGAAGCCAGTTGTTCCAGATCTCAGAAAACATTTCCTCTCACAGCTCCTTCTTCAGAGTGTCCTATCAGAGTGTCCTAACAGAGTGTCCTAACAGAGTGTCCTATCAGAGTGTCCTATCAGAGTGTCCTATCAGAGTGTCCTAACAGAGTGTCCTATCAGAGTGTCCTATCAGAGTGTCCTATCAGAGTGTCCTATCAGAGTGTCCTAACAGAGTGTCCTATCAGAGTGTCCTAACAGAGTGTCCTATCAGAGTGTCCTATCAGAGTGTCCTATCAGAGTGTCCTATCAGAGTGTCCTAACAGAGTGTCCTATCAGAGTGTCCTATCAGAGTGTCCTAACAGAGTGTCCTATCAGAGTGTCCTAACAGTGTCCTATCAGAGTGTCCTATCAGAGTGTCCTAACAGTGTCCTATCAGTGTCCTAACAGTGTCCTATCAGAGTGTCCTAACAGAGTGTCCTATCAGAGTGTCCTAACAGAGTGTCCTAACAGAGTGTCCTATCAGAGTGTCCTATCAGAGTGTCCTAACAGTGTCCTATCAGAGTGTCCTAACAGAGTGTCCTAACAGTGTCCTATCAGAGTGTCCTAACAGAGTGTCCTATCAGAGTGTCCTATCAGAGTGTCCTAACAGAGTGTCCTAACAGAGTGTCCTAACAGAGTGTCCTATCAGAGTGTCCTAACAGTGTCCTATCAGAGTGTCCTAACAGAGTGTCCTATCAGAGTGTCCTAACAGTGTCCTATCAGAGTGTCCTAACAGAGTGTCCTATCAGAGTGTCCTAACAGTGTCCTATCAGAGTGTCCTAACAGAGTGTCCTATCAGAGTGTCCTATCAGAGTGTCCTAACAGAGTGTCCTATCAGAGTGTCCTAACAGAGTGTCCTAACAGAGTGTCCTATCAGAGTGTCCTAACAGAGTGTCCTATCAGAGTGTCCTAACAGAGTGTCCTAACAGAGTGTCCTATCAGAGTGTCCTATCAGAGTGTCCTATCAGTGTCCTATCAGAGTGTCCTATCAGAGTGTCCTATCAGTGTCCTATCAGAGTGTCCTATCAGAGTGTCCTGTCTTAACCCTGACGCCCACGTTCTGTTTTCCTGTCTTTCATTAGCGTAGACGGAAGAGGAAGAGGAAGGAGGGAAGGAGGGAGGGAGGGAGGGAGTGTACGAGTCCCTGTCACTCAGTCAGAAGCTGTCGTTAGCTTGTTACATAGTGGAGCTAGCGGTGCAGTAATAATAATCTGTGTTGTCTTGTTGTGATTTGAGTCAACAGCTCGTCAATACAAAGCACCAAACTTCCCTTTGTCCACCTTCAAAATAAAAGCACCACAGGTTATAATGTTTGCAAGGAGAAATTCACAGAGAAGAAAATATTTAGCGTGGGCTGCTACACGAGCTGCTCGCGTGCTGTTAGGACACGGTGTGATAATTATTAATAATTATTAATCATTATTAATCATTATTAATCATTATTAATAATTAATAATAATAATAATTAATCATTATTAATCATTATTAATCATTATTAATCATTATTAATAATTAATAATTATTATTAATCATTATTAATCATTATTAATAATGA